TCGCTCTGGGATGGATGTCGCTTTTCACCTGAATCCCCGTTTCAATGAGAATGTTGTAGTACGAAACACCCAGATCAACAACACCTGGGGGCCCGAGGAACGAAATCTGGTTGGAAAAATGCCCTTCAGTTGCGGCCAGAGCTTCTCAGTAAGATGCTGGGGTGCAAGAGGAGGGTGCATGGGTCTGTGGTGGGATGGGGCAGACACCTGGGATACGAGGGCTGCACCACAAAGAAGGGAGAAAGTCATCGTAAGGAATGGACCAGCACTTATCCCTGTATGGAAGGTGTGCAGGGTGGTAACAACACGCTAGGCTTGGGAACAGCCTATGCTAATGTACTAGGCAAAGAGAACACTCACGTTTGGCGAAGGGCAAACCATTCAGTTTGGCTAGAGGCCAGGTTTTAGGCTTGCTCCCTAGGAAGGAGGGTTGGGGGAGGGAGACACAAGCCTGGGTTCCAGAGTGCCCTGCAAATGTTGTGGCATCTCTCGCCAGGTGTGGATCCTGTGTGAAAGTCACTGCTTCAAGGTTTCCGTGGATGGGCAACACCTGTGTGATTACGTCCACCGTCTGAAGCACTTGCCAGGCATCAACAATCTAGAAGTGGCAGGTGATGTCCAGCTGACCCACGTACAGGCATAGGCAAGGCCCCTGGCCTAGAAAGGAGGGCTGGGGCACCCTATCTGTGTCTTGTCACCTCTTGTTAGCCTCAGTCCTGGCTCCCCAAATCCCACCATCATGAGTGCCTCAGGGACAGGAGTTCTGGAAGGGGAAACTCTCAGTTCACTCCCCTCCACAAAGTGGGCATCCTGGGCTATGTGACATATGGCTTTCAGCCCACAGTCCCATTGTTCTCAAGCTATACTTCGAGAAGTAACCTCCTTGGGTCTGCCCAGTACTTTTCTGGCCCATTCCCTTTATCCCTTCACCCCACAGCAGGAAGGCCACCCTGATGTCATCTCACTGACCTCCAACTGACCAGAATGTCCCCATCAGTTCTTCCCTATTCTTTCCCAGTGCCCATAAAATAAATAATACTTGTTTGCACACACATGTGAGATGGCTATGGCTCAGTTATTGAATGGGTCTGGAGACATTCTGGAACCTACTAAATGGAATGGGGGGAGGCAGGCGGGTGCTCACACCTGCTCACAGGGGTCCCTCCTCCCAAACCCCACAAGGTGTTGGAGTAAGTGGGTAGGGCCCAGGGTCTATGATTGGAATGCTGGCCTCTGTGTAAACAACCTCAGGCCCCTGAGGTGGGGAGAGGCTGGGCAGAGGCTGTGGAAGCCTGGGCAGCTGTGCTGGGTGGGAGGAGAGGCATTGGGGTCAGTGGGAGTTGATTTGCAATGGACTTCCCAGCAGCAGGGGTTGGGATGGGGACCTGACCCATGAGGGATTCCTGCACCCTACTAACTCATCGAGGCCCCCCATAACCTTTGAGACCTCAGACCAGCAACATCGGGATCCTTCTCAGACCTACTGATGTGTGTGTGTGTGTGTGTGTGTGTGTGTGTGTGTGTTGTGTACATGTTTCTGTGTGCATGCAAGAGAGTAAGAATGTGTGCACGTTTGTGGAGGCCAGAGACCAATTCTGAGTTTCTTCTTTTTATTTTTTTTCTTCCTGAGATAGGGTTTCTCTGTAGCACTGGCTGTCCTGAAACTCATTCTGTAGACTAGGCAGGCCTCGAACTCACAGAGATCTGACTGCCTCTGCCTCCCAAGTGCTGGAATTAAAGGTGTGTGCTGCTACCACATGTGGCCTGAGTGTCTTCCTTAATTTCTGTCCACCTTATCTTTTGAGACTGGGTCTGTCGCTGAGCCCAAATTTCACCGATTAACTAGGCCCGTGGCCAGTGAGCTCCAGAGGTCTGCCTGTCTCTACCTTCCCAGGGTTGGGATGACAGGACACACCTAGCTTAGTTTATGTGAGTGCTGGGGATCTAAACATATGACAGATATTTTTCTAACGGAGCCATCTCCCCAGGCCCCAGTCTCCAGTCTGCCTTTTAACAAGATTCCCAGGTGACTTGGGACAACTGAGTCTGTGAGAAACACACTGCTTACATGCGTCACTGCCAGGGGTGGGGGGCTTTCACGGTCAATGAGAGACTGGTGGGCTCCTTTCTCCTGCTTCTTCTGCTCCATCTGACACAGCTGTGGGAGGGGCCGAGGAACGCTAGGAGGACCCCCCAGCTCAGCTCCGTCCTGGTACAGGGCAGGGGACGGCAGTGCCGCTCGCTGTCTGGTGGGGAGCTCTGCTGGCTGGTGCAAGCAGGAGCTCACAGGCAGGCAGGTAGGTGAGGCTGTGTTCATGCCATGGCTTCACATGCAGAGAAGAACATCACCTATTTTGCCAAGGTGCTAGATCATGGCTGGCTAAAGTAAACAGGTCATGGAACGCAACCAACACTTTTTCTTCTTTAGATGGTCTCGGTTTCACTATGCAGCTGAGGATGACTTTAAATCCTCACTTCCTCAGTGCTGGGATTGCAAGTGTGTATGCCACCACGCCGGAGGTTATACGTGCTGGGGACCAAACCCACAGCTTTGTGTATGCTGGGTTAGCAATCTGCCAACTGAGCTACATCCACAGCCCCCAAGCATATCATTTTTAAAGATGGGGTGAGGGTCAAGGTCCTCAGGAAACCTCTGCCGCTATGAAGAGCTCCAGGGCTCACCATGACCTGCAGACGGTGCCTTGCGTGTGAAGCACAGCTCCAGAACCTGTCTGGGATGCCTCACCATGACCAAAGGGGACCTGGTTAGCATGCTCCCTCATGCGAGCATCGTTTGTCCAGGCTGTGGTGCCTACCAACCCTAACCCATACATTACTTGAGAATGCTTTCACTATAAAACTCAATCACACACAGGGTGGTTAAAATAAAATGCATTTCATAATCAATGTTTTCATCAAGAAATTATACAGGGAAGGCCCCAGAGGTCCTTGTTTGTAGACAAAGGTATTTGTTTTCTTAAATACAAAGTATAAATAACTGTACACGATGCCACTAAATAGTAGAGCGGTGGCATGGCGCCTCCTGGTGGTCATACAAAGTGCTTCAACCAGGAGGTTCATTTTATGCCGCTCCAAGGGTCTAGGGGAGCATGAGAGGGGAAGGGAGGATGAGAAGAGGGAGAGAGGGAGAGGGAGACAGAGATTCGAGTAGTCCACAATGCTGTACTCGCTAGGGTGCGATGGGAAGGAGGGGTTACGATGTGAGAGGTTTGGGGAAAATTGCAGCTCTGTCTCGCCAGGCCCCTGACCAGCTGGGGAATTGAGTCCATCGCTGAATTCTGTGTAGAAGCTGTGACTCCTAGGCTGTCAGAGCCTTGTGCTTTTGGGCTGCTCCAAGGCGCTGCTGTTTTTCACCCCATAGGAGAAGACTGCGCTGAAGATGTCTTCATGATAACGTTTCTGGCTCTATGAAGGGAAACAGAGGCCAAGGGGTCAGCTCTGCTGGACACGGGAACCTCTCAGTTCCCATGTCTAGGCTGCATAAAACCCCAGGGCTGCAACAGCTTCCTGGTGACACAGGCACTCACTAGCCCTGTCTGTGCCTTCCTGCTTGTCTGGCTCGCTGCCATCACACCTAGGTTCAGTTTCTCCTCCGTACTGCGTGTGGCCCACCTCAGCCTCTTCATGGATGGATGGTGGTTCCACCACCTGCCTAGTGTTCATTCACACTATGCCAGAGGATGAGTGCTTTGAGGTCAGCATGTGTGGGGCAGGCTGTGCGTGCTTCCCTTTCCTAAGGCCTTGAAGTCAGAGCACAGAGCAGCAGGCTGAGGGCTCTGAGAAATCTTACAGGAAAGCCACCTGTTGCTCTTTGTGGACCTGGACATGTGTTCCAAATTATCTGACCTTGGGATCTATTTTTCCTTGGTGCTAAAGGGCAGACGGGGTCTCTCATATGCTAAGCAAGGGCTGAGCTACACCTCCAGCTCTTGTTTTCCTGCTTCTGCCTCCTGAGTGCAGGGATTAAAAGTGACCATGTGCCACCATGTCTGGCTACGGTTTTATTCTCTCTCTCTCTCTCTCTCTCTCTTTTCCCTCCCTCATTTTTGTCTCCCTTCCCTCTCTCTCTGTGTGTGTGTGTGTGTGTGTGTGTGTGTGTGTGTACCTGAGTGCCCTCAGAGGCCAGAAGAGAACATCACATCCCCTAGAACTGAAGTTACAGTCAGGTCATCCTCTTCAAGAACAGTATATACTTTTAAATGCTGAGCCATCTCTGCAGCCCTAGATACCCACCCATACTGATTTGCACTCATCACTCATCTGCCTCAGTTTCCCCAAAGCCTTGGGGCTTGCAGGTATGCAGCGCCTCTGCCCCTCCAGCCCCTTATAACCCTTTTGATGTCAAAGATCCATGAACACATCTGATACACACTGAACACATTTGGGAAGCATCCATGACGTCCTTGCTGGCCATCACATGTGTCAGAATGATCTGCACCCCAGGACCTTTGTCCATGCTGCTCCCCCAGCAGAACAGCCTAGACCTCTGTCTCGAGTATGCACAAGGCTTCTTCCTTACCTTCTCCAGGTATTTTTCTCAGCTGTCACCTCCCAGTAACCCCCTTCTGCAAACATCTTCATTAAAATGATGCACACCCATTCTCTGAGCCACTGTTCTGCTCAGTTCTCACGGGAAGCAGTGCACAGTCTGTGTGGTTTTTGGTTTTTGGTTGTTTATCAACCCTGCTAGAATGTAAGCTCCATTTAGGCTGACTTTTGCTCTTTTGTTTTTGGTACAGGATCTTACGTAGCCCAGGCTGGCCTTGAACTGACTGTGTAACCAAGGGATGATCTTGAATACTTGCTCCTTGGAGCCTGTGGCCCTAGTGCTGGGATGGCAGGTGAGCACTATCATGCCCTAGGGCAATTATTTTTACCCGTTTTGTTAACTGCTTCTTAATCTCTACACATAGTAGTGTGCTTTTGCAAGATAACAACAGTCGGTGCTTAATACAGATGCAGGATATAAGTGGAAGCCTGACAGTCAGTTTTGGGAACCAGAGAGAGGAGGGAGAGAGGCCATGGACCTGGGTGCTCATACTCAGTGCTGTAGTGCCAGGACCCCTTCCCTCTACAACACGGAGTAACAGTTATTTTCCTCATAACACCCTTAGACGGGTGGGAGAAAATGTCACAGGACAGTCCTTGGTGAGAACCCGGATCAAGGCAAGCCCTGCTACCAAGAGTCCTTCCTGAGAGGCATGAGGGCATCCAGCCGGCAGCCTGCTGTAAATAAGTGTATGTTTCCATAGCCAGTAGGGAACAGGTCTCCCAGCCCTGGTGTCCACAGCCCTGTTCTGCCCTATGGGTACTTTCTGCAGGGGTGTGGGGAGCAGAGCCTGCTACTCTGATTCCGGGGATAGAGAACAGGAACACACCAGTCGAACTTCTCAGCTAGCAGACAGTTGGGAATGGGAAGTCCACCTCTAGTAGCCCAGACGGTCAGTGCACCCCAGGTTTCTACGGTGGTGCAGAGGGTCTCAGGACACCCCCAGTTCTGCTGCTCTGGTTCTGATTCCAATGATCCAATGACATGTGACCTTGTCACATGTCTCCTTTCACCTATATCCTTTTCTAGGGTCCCACCCCAACTTCCATACCTTGAGCTGGAAGAAATACCCCTCAACCTGCTCCTCGTTCAAGTTCATCTTGGTGGCCACCAGCTTCTTCACGGTGGTAGCCACATCCCGAGCCATGCGCACATCTCCACAAACATAGAGGTGGCCCTGCTCCCCGTGGAGCACGCTGAGTACCTCGTTGGCCAGCTGCTTCTGCAGGATGTCTTGAACGTAGACCTAAAAGCAGAGTGCATGGAACGAGCCCTGAATGCTTAAGTCCCTGTGGTCAGGCACACTGGCCATGGGGAGGGGAGGAGGGACATTGAGGGCTTCGGTCAGGACCTCAACTCAGGATACACAAGTGTCCTGTCCAGTCCTGGCCAACGGAACCCACAGATCTTCCCTGAGACCACCACACTTCAGAGATGCTCCATCAAGCTAGTGGCCCAGCCCAGAGCTCTGAGATCTGCCTGCCTGTAGCCCAGGAAGAAGGGGCTTCCCAGCATGTAGCAGTCCCAGCTCTGATTTAGGGCGGGGCATAGGCTCTCAGGCTCCCCATTTATAAAGAAGATCCTGGAGTCAGTCGGGATTCTGTCCCTTTCCCACAGAAGATGGCCATGGTCCAGCAATTGGATCAAGGAGCTCTCAGGGAACAAGGTTCTGAGCTGAGAGTCTATACTGAGTGCTCATACCCCTGGAGCACAGTGCCCACTTGAGGCCGCTGGTGGGATCGGCTCCTCATTCCAGTCTTGCTGAGCTGAGCATAAAGCCAATTTACAGGACATCTCCCCGCACAGCCCTGTCTGCTGGGCACCTACAGTTGGCTACATTGGGGAAGATTAAGCTACAGTGTGATTCTCAAACCATTCTGGGCTTGATCTTCTCATCGTAATATTCTTCTTATCACTTGATGCTGTGCGGGATGCCAACACTTACCTTGGGCTTGCCTGGCATCCGGGAGTAGGCTGTATGCACCTCGTGCAGCACTCCCTTGTGGGCCATCTCCTGCATCTCTTCCCGATAGAGGTGGTCCTCCTCCGGGTGCCGGCACCCAAACACCAAGGTCATGCGGCCTCCTTTGAGCCCTTTAGAACCCAGAAGGGTGCAGTTACCAACATGGCCACCAGAGGGCGACACATGACCACCAGGTGCCCAACATGTAAATTTTTTACCTGGTATTATCCCCATTTTATAGTTAATAGAGGCATTCTTGAAGAATATGGTTCAGTATCAGTTATGATTATGTCAACATCTAGATCTTTCGTTTACTTGTCATATTGCATTTTAATTTTACCTTTTCCTTTTAAAATATCACTATAGCCAGTACTTGGGAAGCAGGGACAGGAGGATTGCAGCAAGGCCAACCTTGTCTATGTAGGGCATTTTCATAAA